AAACCAAGGGATTTGTAATACATTTATATTTTAAATGTTGACTAGTTAGAAGATGTCCAGAAAAAAAGGGCGGGGGGCTTGGATATACGAGAATCAAATTCTAGCCAGTCTGTATTTGCCGGGATTCCCGTGCATATAAAAGATGGATGAGACACCAAAGAACTCTCTGAGGATGAGGGAAGGGCAAGAAGGCAGTGCTGCTCAGGCATATGAGGCAGGCAATACTGTTTAGTGCCCAGGATGAGAAGTTTGGGTCTTTAGAACATGAAGCCTCAAAAAAAAAAAAAAAAAACAAAAAACTGAGATCAAAGGATTTACATGCTAGGAAAGACTGTTGAATCCTCTGAGGTAAAGGGATTAATTTGCAAGAGACATGCAAAACAATACACATAAGTTTATCTATCACGGGATCATGCATGAGCACCTGGAAACTTTCTTAGAGCATCACCTGCCCTTTATGTAGAGAAACTGCAGAGCAACTCAGGGCTAAAGTAATGCATACAGTGAAGTTCTTAAGAAGAAAAAAATCTGAAGTCCTGGCAAATTAGCCTATTAGGAATCTCAGTAGAGAAATAGAAAACAAGATAAGAAGCGTTTTTTAAGTTGTAAAATGCATGCAGAATATTCTGTTCTACTCAGGGAGAGAAAGGAAAAGGAGCTTATTTAGTACAAGACATTAAAGGAGAAGAAGGGGATTGAATAAGAAGGGAAAAATCTACTTCAGATACTGGACATAAACCCAGACCCAAAGAGGGGAAGCAGGCCAGGAAACTGCCTGAGTAAAAGGTGGTCTGGTCCCCCGGGGGGTGGAGGTGGGGGTAGCAAACAGATCCCAAAGGCTACCCACTGTTAGGCAGCAAGAAGCACAAATAAGGGACCCCAGAACACCTGGTGCTCTTTGTCACTGGAACCACTTTGTTTCTAACCTGAAAGTCAGGTAAGAGCCAAAAGATGCAGCTACATGCTCAAAGAGCAAGCTGCAGAAATAACCTATCAATGTGTATATCTAGCAGCATAGCCGCCATGTCCGCCCCAGGGCCAGTGTGAACGCCCTGCAGGGTCTGGTGGAGCAGCTTAAGCTGGACGCCGCCGTAGAGAGGATCAAAGTCTCCCAGGCCGCTGCAGAGCTTCAATAGTACTGCAAGCGGAATGCCTGCAAGGATGACACCCTGCTGGTCGGCATTCCAACGGGAAGCAACCCCTTCCGGGAGCCCAGATTCTGTGCTCTATTCTCAACACTGTAGGAAAGAAGTAGGTCAAGGAGTGCCTTCAGGCACAAAGTGATGAAAGCCTGCCTCCCAAGTCTCAAGGAAGCATTTTTCCCTAACCAAATGACTTTTAGGTATTTCAGATCTTCCCAGTGACCTGGTCCTATCGCCAAAATTCTACAGAAGTTGATGAGTTTCAACTCAAATAAAGAAACTGGGTGAAGAGTAGACTTCACCCAGTAGACTGGGTGAAGAGATAATGGCCCAGTTTGTTTGGTGAAGTGCTTTATACTTAAGGCAAAAACTTTACCACCAAATATACAAAAATGCACCTCTTTCACAAGGGAATTACTAGTGTTTCTATACCTGGAATATAATGTATGTTTTATTTACTGGATGTTTACATTTTGGAAAGAAAACCATTTTTGTTTATTAAAAAATTCAATATTTGGAATTTTGTTGTTCCTAAGATTTTTACACCATAACAAAATTTGTCCTTTGCTCATGAATTTACAATTTTTAAATGAAGATAAGCCAGTGTAAAATTGTGGAAAGGATAGGCTTTATTAATCAAATGCTGTCTTGATTTTTGTAAGTGAGAAGACTGTTTTACTTTTCACACTGAACATGGAAGCTGTTTCTTAGCAGAACTTGTTGGAAAGATGAATGCGTTGTGTATTAGATCTCCTGGTTCTGTGTGTGACACACAGCTCTTCCTGAGCCCCTCTGGAGTTGTGGCTGTACTTAATAGTATCTTATTTCATGTCTTTGAAAAACATTTAAAATATGACTCACAGAACATTGCAAGTTATTAAAAACAAAGTAATGTGAAAATTTTACAAACTAAATGAATTTTTAATGTCATGTTTTACTTTGATGTTGTGCCTTTGATTTAATTTGAGACACTTTCAAAAGAACACTTTGTGTTTGTAATAATCTTTAAAGAGCTTGGAAATAAAATTTCTGCTTAATTTAAAAAATATGTATGTCTACATACCCAGATGCATCCATGGATAGATGCATTTTATTTAGGATGTAAGGATACCCATCCATGGTGACCAGGGCTACTGGGCAGGAGAGAGGGGTGAAGATAAGGGGAAAATCTTTTACCTAGAGAATATAGTCATCTTATGAAATACTAAAAAATAAAGAAGGAAGGAAGGAACTCAAGCAAAGCACAAAAGAAGGCACCAAAACTGTTTTTACACCTCCTGATCCCCTCCTTCCTAATTCACTCCTCCTACTAATATGCTTGCTCTGGAGAAGGGAGAAAGGCTTTTCATTTAATTAAAACGTAAAATACTTTCTTTTTTTTTTTTCACTGCCTGGTGGCTAGGAATATTCTGCTGAGTCAGCAGTGAATAATCAGCTTTGACCTAAATCATAAAATAACTCAAAGCGGCAGCTGCAGTTGCATAAGCGTGATCCAAATCCGCAGTTCCTTCTCTCTTTCCCCTCTCCTCTCCACCCGCTCCAGACTCCCGGCAGGCAAGCCAGTTGTTACATCAGGTTCTTTCTGCGTCTCCAACCTCATCTGGTTCTTCCCACCATCATTTTTCATCCGGATCTATTTTAAAAACGCCCCATGGAACCAGATTTCACCTCATCTCCTCTCTCCCACAGCAAACCCCAGCCAGGGGCTTTGCCATACTAGTTCTCCCAGCTGGGCTCCTGCCCAGTCCTCCAGCTCCTCAACCAGAGGCCCTCCCTTTATCACACACCAGCGACCTTTCCACAGAGGGTGGCTTTTCCCTCAAAAATTCTCATTTCCACAGTGGATCCAGCCTGTCAGCACACCAAATGACACAGCAGAAAGCAGAGCTTCTTATATCATTACATCCAGATCATCTTCACACTCTCTACTGCTTCTATTAAGAATATGGCTGGACTGGGCCAATATTGGCTTTACTGCCAAGGAACACTGGACTTATTCTCCACAGCTGGCTTGCCTGGCAACTGCTAAGAGATTGAGATGCAGCTAGATGATGGTGAAAGGGGTGCCTAAACTAAAAGATAGCATGTAATGAAAGGCAGCATCTACCAAACCTTCCTGACAGCCTGATTCTTATTTATTTTACTGGGTACCTTAAGAGATGATTCGAGCGGCCTGTAAAAGGGGGTTCAAAAAAAAAGTATTCAAAGAACCAGAAAACAGAAACTTTGCACATAAACTCCAAGTACCTGGGAATGTCTGAGAGGAAGTGTGGCTGTGTGGCTGAGTCCACAAGTGCACTCCTGTGGAGAGAGGAGTTGGGGACTCCACTGGCCCTCACATCTGGCAGGGCAGGGGTAGCATACAAGGTGAAGTGAGGAGCTGTTTTGCATTTTCCCCAAGGAAATAAGGAGGAATAAGTTCGGGTTTAAGAAAATTTCCCTGCTTATGAAGGTGGAAAAGTATTTGCACATATATCTCAAGGACACTGATAAATTCCTGTCTCTGGAGGGCAAGCCCGCCCATGTTAAGCTGGTCATAATTGCTTTGCGGTTCTACTTAGAAGGCAGAGGAGAGGCCAGAGAAGCTTTATTGGATCTTTGATGTCAGGAATCAGGAGAGGGGAGAGCTTATCGTTTTTGTCCTTAGAGTTTCTAAATTCCTCCTGGCTTGGTGCTAGCAGTATCCAGATGAGATGCGGGCTGCCAGAGGAACCACGCACAACCTGTCTTTCTAGAAATGGGCTGCAGGCAGGAGTGGTCCTCATCTCTTGGGAGCATTTGTACCTCTCTGGCCTGAGGGGCAATCTGTGAGGCTATACTAGTACCAGAAGGTCTTTGCCTAAGATGTCACCCACCCTTAGTGGGTTTAGGGAATGCAAGGAAGTTGTGGGGTGCTAAGGCTCAGGGAACTCCCCACTGCGGCTTGGTTTCTCTCTGAGGAGATGGACTGAACAACCTCAGGAATCTCAACTTCTAGTCGGAGGCCAAGAGTGCCCTCCTGACTCAGTCGTTTTACCAGCATCAACAGGAAAAAGGAAGCCGTGTCTGTGTGCACGAGATGCTGAAATAGCAGTAGCCAGCACTCATGTGGTCTCCGTTATAACTCCCCTTAGTCTGTCTGATGGCAAAAAAGCACTCTTTCTATATCTCCATCCCCTTTTCTCCTCCCCCACCACCCTAGCTCTAGATCGAACTCGAAAGTAGGCACCAAGTGACCACCGTCATTGAGTAATGGCTGGGCCATAAGATGCCCGAGTGTCCCGTGCAATCCTTGCAACCACGCCCTCCTGTACAGGCTGGGGAGGGTTACTTTGCCACGTACTCACAGTAGTTAGAAAGTGGTACAGAGATGCAGTTTCCCACAGCCTGGTTCTGGAGTCCACAAACCTCTCTAGATCTGTGAGCAGGCCTGACCAAACAACTGTCTTGGCCCCACAGTACCACTTGCCTGAATGGCAGAGGTCTATCCCAGGGCCAAATAGGGCACACTTTCCAAGGAGACCACCTCAAGGGGCCCAGCTGGCTGTCCTGTGGGAGGCTTTGAGATGGCTGAGTTACTCCTCCCACCCCATCCCACCAGCGTGACAAATCATATAGGTGAAAACGCTTTATATGAAGCACACTGCCAATGAAAGTTTGAGCAGCTACTTAATTTTCTTCCTTTTTTAACATCAGGTAATGATATGCAGAATTCATTTATTCAAAGCACACATGTAGGAAATGGCAAAATAAGGAATGGGGAAAATATAAAAGAGGGCAGGGAAGAAAGAGGGAGAGGAAGAAGCAACAGAGAGAGACATGGAGACACCAGGAAGGCTAAAGGGGCTGCCTTGGGAGCAAGGCCCAGATGGTACTTACATAGGCAGATGGCAGCCAGGAGTCGGAGTCCATATTCTGGGGGGAAGCAGGTGGGGAAGAGCGGCTGTAGCACGTAGTTGGAGAAGGTGAGGGCGATGACAGCCTGGTTGGTGGGGTAGATCACCAGCACAGCAATCCATAGCCTCAGGAACCTGAGGGGGAACAGGACAGGACTTGACCCAAGATGGCAATGCAGACACCCGCCCCCACCAAAGGCATGGCAGGGATTCAGAAGTCATCAGGGGAAGCCTGGGCAAGTCATGGGGCATTAGGAGAGACAGGTAGGCTACAGAGATGCATTTCCTTTTTAGTTTGAAGATGCTGAGGAATCCAGTCCCCTCTGAAAAGAGACACTCAGCCCTCTGCAATGACAATAAAATGGTTTAATGATGAAGAGCTAAGTTTCAACTAGTACTAATGCATGTCCTGGCATTTTTTCACTCTTCCCTCTCCTTTCATTATCTCTTCTCTACTATTCTGGCCCCCAGCATCCAGTGGTGGAAAATAAAATGTGCAACCTCAGCATTTTGACAGCCAGGACATGCTAAGGGTGTGACCACTTACACAAATGCCATAAGCGTCACTGAGCGGGTGTTGTGGGAGAAGTGTCCTCCACACCCTTGCACCTCATGGGTGAAGGCTACTACTTCTTTAGTAGCAGGGCTGCAGAGCTGAGGAAATTCAACATCAGAGCCTCACTTTTGAGGAAGTGAGAAGAGAGTACCTCTGTCTCTGAGGTCTTTACTCTCATTTGTCATGATAAAAGGGCTTTGTTTTGTGATGTGCTTTCCCTTGAAGTCTCCAGTCAGAGTTATCATGTTTGCTCTCCCTCAGACTCTTGCCCACTAAGGTCAACAGAGATTCAAACTACAGCCTGGTTCCTCTGTCACTCTCAGGAACATCAAGAGGACACAAGACTTCACTAGCAAGCATGACACGGAGGGAAAAAGAGACACTCCGTTCTCTCGCTCTCCTTGGCACATTGGAAAATCCCGGTCTCGACTTCCTAGAACACTCAGGTCTCTGCAGTCTCTTACCCTGCCAGTCCTCCAAAGATGTCCTTGACGTAGGAGTAGTCACCCCCAGATTTGGGGATGGTTACTCCAAGTTCAGCATAGCAAAGGGCTCCCACAGCTGTAATGAGACCCGTCACGATCCAGATGATAAGAGCGAGGCCCACGGAACCAGCATTCTCCAGAACACCCTTTGGTGAGACGAAGATTCCAGAGCCAATGATGTTTCCTGTGTGAGGCATCAAAAGTTCAAGGGAGACAGTAGCATCAGCAAAGGTGGCAGGACCGGCATTTGCAGAGATCGTCTCATCTCTGATATGATTCTAAAATACCTTTGGGTTGCATGAATCATCTTCAGGCAGGTATGTCTAGCAATCCTTCTCTTTAGGAGCAGGGAAAAAAGGGGCAGACAACAGGCACTTACAGACTAGGAATGTGGTCAGGTACTGTACATGTCTTCTTTAATCCTTAGGTTAAGCCTATGGAGTCAGAGATCATTTCTCCCATGTTACAGAGGAAGAAACTGAGTCTCAGAGATACCACCAAGTGCATTGCTGAAGTCCCTACACTAGTAAGTTCTGGCACAGGTATTGAACCTCAGGACCCTCTGACTGGGTTGCACATGGTCCACTCAAGGTGATAAAAGTTTTAAGACTGGCTGGAAATGCCAGGACTTGAAAAAAATGGGTTGTTCTCAGAGACCAGCTGCCAGTTAGCTTCAAAAGTGAGTCAAAGGGTCAGATTCTGGTCACACCCCATGCCTGGGGTTTTTTTAGATTCATGGGTGAGGACAGCATTCTTGGAGGCTGGTCTCTACCATAGACACGGCAGCCCCACCCTTGGTGAGAAATAGGAAATAACCCTATAAAAGTCCTAGTTGTGCCCTAGCTGGTGTGGTTCAGTTTATTGAGCACTGGCCTATGAACTGAAAGGTTGCTCATTTGAGTTCAGTTAGGGTACATGCCTGGGTTTTGCAGACCAGGTCCCCAGTTGAGGGCATGCAAGAGGCAACTGACTCATATATCTCTTCCACACTGATGTTTTTCTCCCTCTCTTTCTCCTTCCCTTCCCCTCTCTCTAAAAGTAAATAAATAAAATTAAAAAGAAAAAAGAACATTTCATAATGTTGAAGGACTCATATAATCCTCATAAACATTTATGAAAAATTTAAAAAGTCCTAGTCGTTTGGAAGTGATTTTTAAGCATGTAATCCATGCAAAGCCTCAGCACTATATTCCTCCAAAGGTCATTTTCCTCCACTGTTTCATGTAATCCTTACAATAAAGTGTGAAATTGAAGAAGAGGAGCAAAGTAAGGTATATCTCTATTTTACAAACTAAGGAACTAATTCACAAACTAAGGTTAAGTGGCTTTCTCCAAATTCCACAGTTACTGAAGTTGGATCTAGAGGTCAGTCTCCCAATGCCTCATCCAGAGCTCTTTCCACTAATCCACTTCCGCCTTTGTACGTAAGTGGCTGGATTTCTCTTGGGAGGTGAGGCCAGCACCTAGGACCGAATGGTTGGCTAATTCAATGTGTGTATTGGGCAGCGAAGAAGCAGAGTGTGTGGGAAAAAACTGACAAGCTCCTTCCCAAGCTTTCCTTTGTGTATTTCTTATGATACAAGGTGGGATTAGGGTCCATTGGACAGATACTTTGAAAGCTCTCTTCAAGCTCCACACCAGCTGCACCATTAAAGGCCTGAAGGAGGAAGCAGCAGCTAGATGGACCCAGGCAGAATGCAGAGCTGGAGGGTGTATTATGAGGCCGGCTGGATTTGACTGTTCTGAGGGCGAGTCAAATTCCCAACATACCTCTTTAGTGGTTTGGAACTGGTGCTGGGCTGAATGAGACACAGAGTATGGGGTTGTACACTCAGCTTCCCAAAACAGTCTTTCAGACCTCAGCCATAATCCAACCTCAATCAGGTCTTGAAACTCACTTCTGAATCAAAATTCAATTTCTAATTCCAGGCCACGCATTCAGTTATTTCAGCCAAAGGGAAAAAGAAGAGAATATTTACATTTAAAAACAATAATGTCCTATTCCTCTGGGGTGCAAAATAAGCTGTCCATTTTCAGACTGAAAAATCGCAGCATGAGATAAGTAATGGAAGAGGGAAGGGGTCTAGACAGTCCCCATGTGTGCTTTGCCTGAATGTTAGGTTAGTGGAGACTAGAAGGCACTAGTATCCTAGGATTGAAGACATAGGCACCCTACCCTGTCAAGTGACCCTTCAAGTGCCAAACTAAATGTGCTTCTGAGAATTGATAACAAGCACTGAAAGGTAACAGTAAATTCCTTGCCTAGCAGGTATGTATCAGAAGAGTGACCTATAGGGCATTTCAAAGCCAGCCAAGACGAGAGCAGTACAACTAGGGTTAAAAAACTAGCCCAAGAAGTTTAAAAAAATCCATCAATACAGGAGGAAAACAAGGTTTGACTTTGGTTTTTTAGGTGCTAAAAAGCAGATTTGGGAACAACCAGACATTTCTTAGAGCCAGGAATGGCTGTCACAAGGGAGAAGTGGGAAAAGAAGTTATTTAAAAGATTCCTTCTTTTCGGCCCTGGCTGGTGTAGCTCAGTGGATTGAGCACATGCCTGTGAACCACATGATCGCAGTTCGATTCCCAGTCAGGGCACATACTTGGGTTGCAGGCCGGTTCCCTGCAGGCCAGTTCCCAGCAGGGGACGCACAAAAGGCAACCATACATTGATGTTTCTCTCCTTCTCCCCTTCCCCTCTAAAGATAAATAAATAAAATCTTTAAAAAAAAAGATTCCTTCTTCTCAAGAATAAAGAATGTTAAAGTTCTACTAAGGGTTCTTGGAAAACAAATTTTGCAATGGGAATGAATACACACTTCTGTTCTCTAGCTTACACTTGGACATTTCTAGACTGCACGCTTCTTCCCTCATGCCAGGTAGAGGAAACACTGGAAGGTGGGATGTGCAACACCAACAACCTACTGCAAAGTCTGACTACTTCTTGCCTCATCTTTTTTTTTTTTATTTTATTTATTTACCTTTAGAGGGGAAGGGAAGGAGAGAGGGAGAGAAACATCAATGTATGGTTGCCCTTCGCACATCCCCTGCTGGGAACTGGCCTGCAGGGGACTGGCCTGCAACCCAGGCATGTGCCCTGACTGGGAATCAAACCGCGATTGCCTAGTTCGCAGGCCCGAGCTCAATCCACTGAGCTATACCAGCCAGGCTTGCCTCATCTTATAGTATTCCCGGATAACATGTCTTTCCACAGAGCTGCTGGAATGACGGTGAGAGCTGCAATCGCTTAGCAATGAGACAGGAATCTTCATTTTATAAAAATTGGGTTCTCCCCCTCCCCCCAACAATATCAATTTTGACTGAGTTAAAATCAGATAAAAGCTAACATTGATTTATGCTAGGGAACAGGAAGGAAAGGAATGCACCTCTCACTAATTCTAGGAAGCTGCTATCTAGAAAACCAGAATCATGTAACACTTCCTCCCACTTAGTGGCCTTTGGAGCTTCTGCAGGGGGAGTAATGTCACTCACAGCACAGCTGTGTTCTGGAGCTGAAAGAACATTACCCAAAACTAATACCCTCTATATCAATTTTTAGTGTGATTACTTGATGAATACTTACCTCCTCCACTACACCGCAAGCCCCATGAGAACAGGAACTGTATCGCTTCTCCTCACGTGTGAGGTAGGCACTCCATAAATGTTTACCAATTGAAAGATGTCTGACATCAATCTAGAACTTATCTCTACAGAGTAATTCTTCTTTGACAAGAGTGTACTTGTTTCTTTGGAGCCTCTGAATTCTGTGAAATGTGTCAGATGTATATTGTAGGCAAATGAGTAAAGCAGCCCAGTTATTCCCCTGATGAGAAGAATAGACTATCTAATCTTATGATCTCAAGTTTGTAGGGGAAGAAGATAAGTAGGATAACTACAATTCCCATTTTCCAAATGGGGAAAATTAGGGAGGTATTATTATCCTTATTTTATGAATGAAGAAACTGAGACTCAGAGAGGTAGCTATTTGTCTAAATCATAGAGTAAGTTAGTAGCAACTGGATTAGAACCTAAATCTTCTGTTATAGCTTCAAGCTTTCCCCTGAAAATAGTTTTACATGCTCCACTCTATAGGCAATAAGAACAATTCACAGAGAATGCTTATTCAAAAACTGGAACACAGATCTGATGCTTTCCTTCTATTGCAACACCCCCTTCAACATTGATTTACAAAACACTCACAGCTTATACCTAATTTGATTCTCATAACTACTTTCTTAGGTCTGTAGGTCAGGTATTATCATTCTTATTTACCTTTTTGAAGACTGAGGTGAAGAGATCATTTAAATCACATAATGTGTATATAGCAAAGCCTGGATGAGAGGCAAAGGCCTTGGGTTCCTGGCCCAGGATTTCCTCAACTATCCCACATTGCCTCTCCTCTAGAAATTGCACAACACACACTTTAGCTGCAGGGCTTTTAAAGTTGGACACTGTCTAAATGAGACTTCCCTGGAGTGGCTTTGAAAAAGGAAAACTTGGAAAGAGCTTCCACCTAGGCTCTGAAGCTTTTTTTAAAAAGATTTTATTTATTTATTTTTAGAGAGTGGGGAAGGGAGGGAGACAGAGAAGGAGAGAAACATCAAAGTTTGGGTTGCCTCTCACATGGCCCCACTGGGGACCTGGCCCGTAACCAAGGCATGCGCCCTGACTGGGAATTGAACTGATGACCCCTTGGTTCGCAGCCTGCACTCAATCCACTGAGCCATACCAGCCAGAATGCTCTGAAACTTTCATGATGAAAGTTTGAAAGTTGGAAGTAAGTTTATTAAGGTGAGATTTTTTTTCTTTTTATTCTCACCTGAGGACATGCTTATTGATTTTAGACATAGGGAATGGAGGGAGAAAAAGGGAGGGAAACCAATGTGACTGATTGCCCTCCGTAGGCTCCTGACTGGGGACCAAACCAGCAACCCAGGCATGTGTCCTGACCAGAAATCAAACCTGCACATGACCTTTCATTCTGCAGAATAACACCCAACCAACTGAGCCACACCTGCCAGAGGGGCACTTTTGTCTCCATTATTTTACTCTTAGACTCATTGTCTACATAAAGCCATTCAAGAATGAGATGTCCACCCATCTGGTATAGCCAACATGCTGAAGATCAGTGTTTCAACCTTCTCTTTCATCCACCACAATTAATAAAACAATCACCTTATCACA